TGAGAACAATAATGAATACATTTTAAAAATATTGTAGGTAGAGTATAATTAAGTATTAAGATAATTAAGTTAATTTTTGACAGAATTTATTATAACTAATTGAATGATAAATTAATTCAATATTAATTATTTCAATATAATGATTTGTATTATAATATTATATTTAAAAGTTGTATTCTGACCTTAAACTTTATAGGTTTATAGGTACTATTGATTGAATTAATATATCACCTATATTATTATCTAAAGAAAATACTACGTCTGTGTAGAGTTAGCTGGTAAGTTTGAGGAAGTTAAATAAGTTCGACCCTCGTTCGAGTTCCGCTGAATTATTTAGAAAGAAGAACGGTGTGCTGAGTGTAATAAATGAGTGCGTGTACAATACTCGAGTTGCTGTATAGTATTATCGAAGACCTAAACCTAAATGTGTGCCAAAAAAATGTAGAACTTTTGGTGCACAAGACCTTCACCCCAACCACCCGATGACAGGAATAGGACGCGTATATTGTAATAATAATAATAATAATATGTGAACGGAACATAATAATTATGATAATGGGGCCGAAACAGCATCGAATATGGAATTCTGCGCGTCGAACCGTCTTTTAGAACTACAACAACTGACAAACTGTGTGCATAATATTATCAATACCTTTACATTGGTATTATAAATATTTGTGAGTGTTTGTGTTATAATTATTACACATACACAAAACACACACATGCGTGTAAATACGCATCGCAGGCGTCTCGTTTAATAAATATTAACGTTGGCGAATTAAATTTACCAGTTCTGAAGCGCGTTATTGGCTTCACATCAAATATCGCTGAGACTAGACACAGTTTGGCGATCACGATTTATAACACTTATTACTTGTTTCGATACATATATATATATATATATATATATATATTAGGTATATACATAGGTATGTTTGCGTGTGTGTAGTTTTGTAAGTCTTCTTCTATGTGGGTAAAAAAAAAAGTATAGATACTACTTCCGATTACAACTGTTATTCGTCAATTACTGTTAACCTTTCGTGAGCAGAGACTCTTAAATTTCCGTAAACTATAAATACTGCTAGAGCCACTATACTATACATACATGGAGTGATAGGCCCAGCATGGTCACACAAATTTTGCATGGATTAAATAATAATGAATTGATTCAAATTCTGATTTTTTTAACTTTTAGCTGTACTCGAGTCATATTTTGTTAGATTTGTTATGCAATAGAGTACCCTGTGGACTGTCACGATATCAATTTATTTTTTCTTTAAATAAGAATCGTTCTTTTTCTTATGGGTTATTAACCAGATGAAATTTTTGAAAAGTAGGTATATTTAAATCGAAATTAGAATGAGTGGTTTCTGAGAATATTCAACTTTGCATATTAATAAATAATAGTTTATCCATGAGTATGGGTTTGAAAGATATGCGGCCATGATTATTTAAACATTTTAACAATCAAAATTTACCTATAAATATTTCACAATTTGTTAAAATCGTCTGAGTATAATAAAATAAACTAGAATATAAAATATTACATAAAATATTTTATAATTGAGTTCAATTAATTTTAAGGACTATTCACTAATATCCTAAGTTTATACATTTAAATAACACAGAGACTAATATAGTTAGAATTTTAGTTTAAATACATCAAAGCTTAAAAAAATCATCGACTTAACAATACCTATGTTCAGTTAAAAAGGTTGGTTCTTAATTGGAAAAATAAGTTTCTATCACCTCAAGAAACTCCTTAAATGGAATAAATAAAAAACCTAATAATCTAAAGTTAGATACATAATTAGTAGGTATACTTAACAATTTTCAAAAAACATAATTTGAATAAATTAATTATTTAAAAAAAACGAGTGTTTGATGAATGACTTCGTATATAATAATATACCTAATATATGCAATTATATTGGTAATATTTATATTCTGTGATATAATAATAATAATGACAAACGCATGTATCCCGGGTTAAACGTTTCTCAAACAATTGGTTTTACATCGATGTTTTTATTTGTTTATGTCTATATATTTGTATTTGTCTATGTGCGAACAACTTCACAACAAAATAATATATTATATTAATATGTATAAATTAAGCTCGATATAATACTGTTATTCCCCCATGTGAAATCACGTAAGCAGAATTGAGAGTACACAGTGTGTTTAATAAAGATTTGTAAGTTGACCAAACATCGGCCATTTGTTATAAGCAACGGGCACATATTTTGTTATTTGGCTTTTTTATTTTTTTCATTTTATAATCAACGTTGTGTATTAATATTATATCATATTAATTTGAATATTTTGTATTATTTTATGTACCTATTAAGTGCACGGTACATTGTAACGAACAATAATTAGTAGACAATAATTTCGAAATCAATAATATTCATCGTTATGGTATTTAAAGTATAATCTCATATGTTTTTGAAAATATCTAGTTGGTTTTTGATAAACACTAATATTATTATTATTACCGTACCGACTGCGCGTGTTAAACTAGCGTCAAGTTAATTTAATTAGTATTCAGTACATTTGTACATGTCACATATTATATGTTTTATATATTATGTATTACGCTCTTTAGAAAAACAGATCAAATCGTTTTGAAATATTTAATCAAGATGGAGAAAATGCTGTTTAGGTTTTAAGTTCAGAAAATAGTGTGGAGCGACCTATTATAATGTCGCTCGGAAATAATCTGCAAGTCTCAAGTGTCCCGCTCACACACTAATGGGTGGCTTCTTTTTTCAAACCATTCGTATCTAAAATGCTCACCCTTCATAATAATAATATACTTATAAGTACTCATGCGTATTGTATGCATATAATTGTGTGTATAGATTGTGCATTTCAAATAATATAAAAAAAGGTTTAATGTTTGTATCAATGTAGACACATATTTTTTTTTATTCCCGACATTTCGATCTCAGTCTTGTTCAAATAATTTGTTTTTATTCATACCATTATCCTCATTATAGAATTGTTGTGGTATTTCGATGTTCTAAACTTCAGAAGTATATATAAAAAAAATAATAATAAACGACTATAATAGCGTTACAGATTTAACTTCCATATATTTATTACAAAACATGAATATTTCAAAAACGTATCATGCTATAAATATGTTATAATATCACGTATATTATTATGGCGCAACGTACAAGTTATCATCGGCAATAAATACGTAGGTTCTAGGTAGCTTACAATAATTTAATGTGTGGGTAAGGCCTTCAAGAGGATATTGGAGTGGTGGAGAAATAATTGTACACCCAGATTATGTTTGAACAGTTGAGCCATTGTGGAGTATGATAGTCGCCGGAACATTGAATACCTATCAATAAATAATAACAAACTCGTTTACGGGGTGTATACAAAGTGGTGTATACACAGTGTGGATCAGTAATCTTAAGTTTGAATTTAAGAAAAAAAGGAATTTTTACTCAAAACCAGTTTTCTACAAAATTGATGTAGTTTTTTTGATGTAACTCAAAAACAAATAATCGTAGTTACTTTAAATTATGATCAAATATTTATATAACCATACTCCATGCATCATAAAATGTTTACTCCTTTTGAGCTATAATCATACATTTTTTTAAGCTATTTAAACTATTATGATATAAATGTCATCATAAATTTCAATTTAAGTTCAACAATATTAAATATACATGAGCTCAATTTTCACATTAAGTTTAAATTTTGATCAAATTCATGAAAGTCCGAAAAATTATTAGTCATTATAAAATGGTTAAAAATGTATAAAATGTTAAATTTTTATAGGTACACTTATATTTAGGAATTGAAAATTTAATACAAGGTTTCTCATAAGTATAGTTCATGCTGTAACCAAAAAATACATGAACACAGTTCTATTTAACTGATATTTTAAGTTCAAATTTAGACTAAATTTGATATTTAAACAAATAATAACAATTTTAGTTATTTTGTTATAATTTGAAATTATTATTCGTGGGAACTTGAAAGTATATTAATTATATTTTAGTCACAGACACACAAATACATTTTAAAATGCAATGTTTTCTGCAAAAGTTAATTTAACCTATTGTATTTGTGTATTACTAATAGTAAAATAAATTTCTTTAATAGCAACAATATCATAAAAATGTGTAGTCACTTAATAATGTAGGGTGACACACCGTTTTTGCTTTGAATCATTTTTCATATGACGTACCTACCTAATGGTTTATCATTGAACTCAAATTTAACACCGCAACTCACCATGATCCTGATTCTCTCCGTGATTTTCATCCCGAGGTCCCATCGGCACCGTGTCTGTCGCGCCAATGGCCTCGCCGCCGTGAAGTCAAGCACCTCCGAACCTTGAAACTTGATCACTTTCTGCGGATCAGGCGATGTAGCGACGTCCGTGTTCCCATAGCTTACCTTAGCTCTATCGCTCACTCGTCGTGCTCTGAGATCTCCGATGCCGTCGTCACGAGTCTGCTTCGTGATCCATCGCTCCTAGCACGACCTACTCTGCCGGGCCATCGGCGAGCCGCCACAGATGGTCTCGCGTGTCGGCAACATCGAGCTCGCAACGCCATCGACCACGACCTCGTATTTCCGCGGGTGGCCGGAGTACGTACAGGGTGACTTACCACCGTACACCGTAAAGTGCTCTGTCACTCACCAATCCCCCATGTCACCGCCGTCTTATCTGGTGTTCCTCGACCCGAGGAGGAGGGAGGGGTGGACTTCTGCTTCTCTCTCCTCGAAAGCATCCACACAGCATCAGACGCGTGACCCGCCTCACTCCCTTCCACGTGGTGGCCATTATTCACCTGGCACGTCCACGTGGAGGTATGGGCTGTTTTGTGGGCAGCTTTTGGTGCTTCCGTTTCGGTTGTCCTGGCCAGTCCATCTCCGTCCTTTCCTTTGCACTGGCCCTCGGCCGGTGGCTCTTCCATTTTTTCCGTAACTGTAACTGCCTCTACGTCTCTGCCGGCCATAGCCTCCTACGTAACTTCGTCGCAGACAGCTTCGACCATCTCACCCAAAAGGGTATTCACGACTTCTGGGTCTTTCTTTTCGCTCATTTCCTCTGGGACTTCTTTTTTGTCGATGTGCTCTTGATAGTTCTCGTTGTCAATACCATCTTGATTTTCGAAATGATGCCCTTCGTCTGCCTCGTCGACGGTGAATTCGTCAATAAGCTTGAGCGTGTTAATCAACTCCCTCAGGATTGCGTCGATATCGATCTTCGTCATGGCCATGTTATATGATTTACAATGTTTTATTCGGTATAGTGGAACAAGTATCTATTATACTGTTGGAGACAAAATTGTAAGTGAGTTATAAAAAACAATTTCTGGTTAAGCAGTCACCGAAAATACAATAATTGCTCAGACGATTACGACATCGTCATTCATTTAGCGGCTTATTTTCTCAAACATCATTATTATTGAAACGTACTTATGCCTACGCGTAGGTACCTATAATATTATATTTGAACGAGGATTCGTATTTCGAATTGTATTTGTGCTCATCTTATACTTTTAGGTGAAGTCTTTTAGATTCACTGGGCGGAACGATGAATGTATCAATTGTTTTACAACGACGTGTGTTTTTTTGGTGAACGAGCGTACACGTTTTATATTAGTAAAATTGCTTCGGACTTTGAGTTTATGGCCGATTTCTAATAGCACTTGCATTTAATTGGTACTTTTATAAGGTGTCAATATATTCTTTGTTATAATTGCTGGTTTTTTCGAACCTATCGATTATCTGCTGTTAGAACTTGAAATAGTAATTAATAATTTATTAATAATTTCGTGTGGTATTTATTATTCTTCATGTTTAAATATCTTAGTTTATAAATCTAAGAAATGGATCCTAGGTTGGCCGATATTATTTTTCTCCATATCATTATGTCCTTTTGTGCGGTGATCAACAATATATTATTGTAGGTATTGAAATAGCTGCGCTGAGCTGTTCGTATGGTTTTAAATTACTGCGGTTAAAAACTTTAATAATAATAATTTAATAAACGATCCATTGATAAGGTGCATTATTCATATTGTACCTAAACATAACTTAAGTAACCTTCAAAACAAATTTAGCGGCCGGGAACTAATTTGTTGGTGCCTCTCTGAGTTATGGCTCACCAGAAAATTAATATAATGTCTACAAAATATGACTCAATAATATTTCAAACAAAATATACCTAATAAAGTTTGAAAATATAAGAATTTATTTTTTTATTTTAGAACCCTTTATATATTATATTACTTATGTAATCTGTTTTCTAATATTTTCGAGAGTCTTATTATCAAATAAACAACTTAATAATTTTACCATAACTATCCTTTTTATACTAGGTAAGCTATCGGTTGAACTAACAGCCATAACTTACTATTAAAATTTGTAACGACTTTAATTTTAATCACTTTTTTTAAAATATAATAATCTTGATAATTATATTATATAACGGTGTCTTATAGATACTGACAAATGACTATATAATTTTTTTCAACTGTTGATCAGAAAAAGAGTTAAGTCATTAATAATTGTTAACTGCATTTTTCAGTACTGCATTTGGTACATAACGGCGAGTACCACGATTAAGGATCGAAAATTGTGCATCGAAATAACCGCGCTCGTTGTACTCGAGGACTATGTAAAAATCACATGTGGCTTTTTATCTGCACACTATACGCTGATCGTATATTACTTGTCATGTAATATTAACACGGGTAGGTGGTGCGTGTGTAGTCGATGAGAAAAAACAGTATCGTTTTGGTAAATTGTGCGTATACCCACTTTATATAATATTATATATTATTGCCGCGTACAGCAATAACCAGGGAAATCGTAAGCGAGGGAGGGATGAAAAAAGGCCACAGTCGTATCGAAGTGCAATAAGCATAATCTGAGAGACACTGCGTGTATAACACGCGTATTATGTATATAAATATATAATATTGTGCTTATTATTATTATTATCGTCGACGTCGAAACCGCCATTAAGGCAATTTTTATATCATTTTTTTTTCGATTTTGTTTTTCATCGGAGAATCTCGTCGAATTTGTGGGGTGAATTCGTATAATTTCCATACATACAATACCTACATACATAAATTATTAATGTTCTGAGTTTTTTTTGTTTTTTTCGTTTTGTTCCGTACCTACAACACATGTCATTACAATATAATATATCCATAGTACATTAGTGTACCTAACACTTTGTACGTACAACTTTAGGTATATAGTACATATATCATATATGATACATATATATATATATATATGCATATATACATACCTAAAATATTATACGCCATGTGCGTTATCTCTATTATAACAATACTAATAATAATAATAATATATACTGCGAATTGTATTATATATTTGTGACCTATTGCCAAGCCCACCCGCCCGCCAACCCGCCGAAAACCGGGCAACCGCGTGTCTCCGGAATTCGTGCCTATAATTTCGACACACGAATATCATGTGCTCGATATCGATGTACCTACCCACCTACATATAGTGTACGTACAAAGCTCGTATAATATATTATATTGTGGCCTCATATTGTACGCGTAAACACGATACCGCCCGTCACAGGCGTCACGAAGAGCTTTTTGCATTATTTATAATATTGTTATGGCCTCGTCGTCGTTACACCCAACGTTCGGTTCGATTCAAATTCGTTATTTTTTTTTTTGCGCTTCACTCGATTCTCGCGGCGATACACGCGCCGCACACACGCCATTACGATCAACACACACAGTAATAGGACGTGTCCAAGTGTCGAATGTTTTGTAATAGGTAGTGTGTGTGTGTTTATTACTCAACTGAAAATAATAATAATTACGACCCCCTCCGGTGGGTTAATGCTTTAATGTTCGAAAACATTTCGTTCCTATATCCTGCGGCGCTGTCATCGTGGCGTATAATATTCATGTGATATTATTCGTTTTTCGACACTAGCGTGGAACTACGAAGGGCTGAGTATTTATTGGATTTACGAAACGATTTACGCGGCGTGTGGACTTTTTATTAGAAACCGAGAAAGTCACACGTGTTTATTAATATTATTTTTCTTATTATTATGAAATAAATAACATTTTTACGAACGGAAAAATAAAATAAAATATAATCATGTTTGCTGTGTCTGGAAATAATTGTTACAATATCTGCAAAACTAAAGAAAGAGTCGCGTGCGTGTAGATCTTTATCCTTGATTTTTTTCTTTTTAAGCGTCCTAGGTTCTAGAGATGTCAGTACGAGAAGAGAGATTATTGTTAACGAAAGTGAAATTTTAGACCGTGTTTTTCAGTCATCGTATAAGAATTGATATTGAGATTGGAGAATACCTGCGATCGATCAGGAAAATACACCTACGTCTTACATATTATTACATAGTCCTTGCACTGGGTAAAGTTATTACGGTTTACTCGGACGTCACCGACAACCGATAACGTATCATAACAGAAAATAAAATATAACAATATACAATATACATATAAGTACATAACACGAAGGGTTGTCGATACAAATCGAAAAACTATATGCATACAGGGAGTTTCACCAAACATGCTAATCCCCTTTCTTCTACAATTGTGAGGTGATTCTATATCTAATATTTGAAATTTTTAAATATAACTTCCTTAAAACCATATGTTCTAATTATTGAGATATTATTGTACTAGGTATTTACATAGTGTCCTGTGAATATACAAACTTCTGTTTTTTTTTATATTCCCTTCTTTTCTACTGGAAATTAATTAGGTAGCGGAGAATTTTTCTATTTTAGTAGTAATAGTTATAATATTAATCTATCAACATTTATAATTATTAAAAATGGTTAAAGTTTGGTAAATACTAGATTCAGTATTAAATCTGCATAATATTTTTGTTAATCTATTTAATTTTTTAGGACTATGATAATTAAGTATTTTAATAAAAGAACTAACACATTCAAATTTGGAACCAGGTACATCACAATTTTGAAAAAAATATACCGTAATAAGGGGAGGGGGTATCGCCACAGGACATTCCTTAAGAAGTAAAAAAAATCTTAAGAATTTTGAAAATGTGGCTTTTAATTTTTAATTTTTAATGAAAAAAATAGATTTTGTATGAATTCATAACTAAAGGAAAATATGGGGATGAGCATTCTTGGTGAATCACCCTGTACATTATTATTGATATTATTATTATTATTTTTCACTTGTCAAAGGTTGTAACAACGTAGCGCCCTAAGCACTCGAATAATAATTCGAAGATTACAGGGTTGTTTATCTTTTTTTTGGTCACGAGATGTTGTTTAGAATATGCGCATTTGAATTGGGTTTTGGGTTACTATTTTGTTTTTCACAGCTCTTGAGGTGGTGTACATACGACAGTGGGTGTATCCCCAAAAGTATATTATATAAGTTATATAATAGTATGATCTTCCGTCTACAAAATATTAAATTGATAACTATATAATATTAAATTGTTGTACATCAGTTGCGGACTACATAATATAATATCCTGTTATTTGTAAAGTTTTCAGAAGAAGTCGGTATAGAAGAAAAAAAAATGGTCAACTGACTTCCTGGATTTGAGAGGCGATTCGACTTATCCTCCATCCCCCACCACAGCACGTCGGAGGCCGAATTTTTTGCTCAGTATAATAAAACGTATTAACCCGATAAACTGCAGGAGCTGCTGTTTTATACGGCTGCTGCAGCAGTCAATCATCGGTAAATGCTATTAATACTTATACCTTCGCGGGTGGTATATTAATATATTATTTATACATATATATATATATATATATATTGTGTAATATGTGTATGTGGTATGATATAAATAGGGTTTAAAGCAGCACAAAATGGCAGAGGGTACTGTGTTGTCTATATCATACAATTTCGAGCGTTCCGTACGAGTAAACTTAAATAATTATGATAACTTAAAAATGTAAATGTTATTAGTTATTACGACGTTGTCATAACCGGCGGCGGGGGAGCGTCCTTGTAGAGTTTGTTAGTACCTACCTACATCTAATTTCTAAATAAGTATCCCGCATATAATATTATCAATTTAATTATCTACATTTAAATTTCTCATTTTTAAATTTTTTTTTTTAAGTTCAAACACTAGAACCCATTTCTCCAGAATTTAAACTGTGTGATATGACAGAATAAAATATATTATTAATTATTATTATATTAAATACAATAAAAAGTATGTAATCAAACATGAGGAATAGTGAGATTTATAAATA